TTAAGGATTATAAAGAGAGGATTAATTTTCTAACTGAAAAGACTTCTTTTTCTATATTTCATATACTCCATAAATTAGGTAATAATTAAGTAAACAACTTCTTAAATAAATAGACCACAAATATAAATGTAGCTTTTATAAAGCCTTACCACATGAGCAATGCCTTTTAAAATATTAAAAAATGAGCCACACCTTACGTGTCCTTTCTTTATTCTCTTCAACAACTCCACTTGTATACTTCCTCCTGTTCTTCCTAGCTAGTTCCTTCCCCACGTCACCAACCCCCGGGAAAAAAACTCCCCAACCCCAACAACTATATATACACACAGAACACAGACACATAATATCAAGTAAAAACTTACTAGCTATATAACAGTTAACATCTTACCCAAGAAGAATATAATATCATATCTTCATTGATCTTTAGCTTGTTCTTATCTTCATCTTTTCAACATGAATAGCTACAACCAAAACCAGGCTCAAGGTGCGCTTAATTTTCCCCTATAATATATTTTTTGTTGTTATGGCTGGTAACTTAATTATGTTTGTTTGGTGAAGATTATAATATATTTTCTTTTTGGATATTTGCAGCAACCGCATACACTCAACAGCAGCAACCACAGGGAGGTGCTTTAGTGGCTCCACCACCACCGGCTGGTTATCCAACCAGAGATGTTGAAGGTGATTCCTCTGTTCCAGTCACTACTCAATCCAGAGGTGATGGCTTCTGGAAAGGCTGGTTAGTATTCTCCCTAATTTTATTTTTCTTTTTCCCATTTATGAAATTTGTTTGGTTTCAAATACTCATAAATAATTAAGGATACCTTAACGTTGAATAAATTGAATGAAGAAACCCTTGTAGAGAAGTCAGAATTTAATCATCTTTCGCATGTGCTTAAATTTTTCCATATGAGAATAATTGGGTTATGTAATACAAAAGTTTTTGAATTGTCGGGGAGATTAATTTTTTACTGGCCATTACTAAAGTTCGTTTAGTTATGTGCGGTTTTCACAGAAGATTGTTAAATAAAATACAAATGGTTAGTAAATTAAACACAAAATATTTTTATACAATGATTTTCTTCTATTCAAATTGCAATTACTCATAGATCATTTTTTCTCAAAATTGCTCATATTTTTCACTATCATGAGGACAAAGAAAGAAGATAAGAAATGCATGATTCATATTCTATTTTCATGTCAGCAAACCTTTCTTGAATCAAAAGATCTTTCTACTATGCACCAAGTTGATTTTCACAGGCAATTAAAGTAATAGAGCTTTAATAGTTTGTTTGGTCAAATTTTTTTTTTTTTGCCAAAACTATTTTTTGGTCAAAAGTAATTTTTTTTATTTAAATTAAGGTCTTTAGTCAAGCTTTTAGAAGGAAAAAAGAACATTCTTGAGTAGAAACAGAAGTAATTTTTGAGAAGCAAAAAAAGAATTTTTTTTCCCAAAAGCACTTTTTGAAAGACTTTTACGGTTTGATCAAACTTTAATTGTTGCCCAAAAATATTTTTTAAATTAATTATTCAAAACACAAGTTACTTTTTGAAAAGCACTTAGAAATACTTTTCAAGCAGAATTTTTAATATTTTGTCATATTCAACTATTAAAGGCCAGGGGAAAGCTTATTTCTCAAAAGTCTCTTTCGCTCCTTCTTCCACTCAATGCTGATTGTAATGTGGTGCTAACTTTTTTTGCGCGTTTGTTGCAGTTGTGCTGCCTTGTGTTGCTGCTGTGTGTTGGATGCTTGTTTCTAACGAGTGACGCCAGATTAATTCCCCCTGTGTGGATTTATTTTTATTCGTTGTAACGTTATGTTTATAAATATCCTTTGTTAGCTTGTCCAAATTTCTTGATGTAAAAGATGGTGCGATCTGTATTTTGGAATTTGATTCTATATTCCTTTGATGACATTCGTTAAACATATGTGTTTGAGATATTATTGTTAATTAATTAGTAATATTCTTGGTTGTTTAGCGCTCAACTGCTTGCCAATTGTCTTAATTGTCACGTCATTGTGATTGTCACAAAAGGGATATTGCTACCACTTGATGGCAACTGGTTAGGTCAAGTAGGCCAATTGGCCAAACGAAAATGTGTCACGCATTTCATGCTTAATTTAATCAACCCATATTGGTGGTTATTATCTTTAGGGGTCATTAAGTCGTTGGACCATTTTTAGGGGTGATTTGATTAGAAGGATTGAAACAATAGATAAGTATAAAATTCTTTCAGATAATATTAAGTTTGTCTAGAGGTATAAGAAAAATTAACTACTGTGTAACCTATGCGACGTTTTTGTTCTTTTTTTCTTTTTTTCTTTCATATACCTTATACAACATATGGTATGGCGTACAAAGAAAATATTTCTTGTAGTATTTGACTAGCGGTATTTAATTAAATAATTAATACTTTATTAAGTTATGTGAAAATATTTTATGCAAGATAAGAATAAGTTATTCTTGCATAACAATCTCTTCATTATTAATTACCACATAAAGATTCATATACAACAACAACAACAATAACAACCCTGTGACATTCCACTAGTGGAGTCTGGGGAGGGTATATGACCTTACCCCTACCCTGAGGGGGTAGATAGGCTATTTCTGATAGACTCTCGGCTCAAGAAGACGAAAAGAGGCAATATATCAGTACCATCAACAGAAACCATAGAAAAAATAACAGCACCACAAGAACAGAAAATAGATGAAAAGCAAAACAATAACTAGTAGATAAGGCCCGACACTATGAGAAACAAAAGAATAGTGTGAACATAACATTAACCACTAGCAGTCTAAGAAAAAATCCTATTAGACTAGCTTCACTCTGGTGCGACATAGAAATATGCACAACACCTCCTAACCTACAACCTTAATGCTCGACCTCCACAACTTCCTATCTAGTGTCATGTCCTCGGTAATCTGAAGCCACGTCATGTCCTGCCTGATCACCTCTCCCCAATATTTCTTAGGTCGCCCTCTATCTCTCCTCGTACCAACCAAAGTCAGCCGCTCACACCTCTTGACCAGGGCATCTAGGCTTATCCTCTGAACGTGCCCGAACCATCTGAGCTCGCTTCCCGCAGCTTGTCATCCATGGGGGCCACGCCCACCTTCTCCCGAATATCCTCATTCTTAATCTTGTCCATCTTAGTGTGCCCACACATACACCTCAACATCCTCATTTTTGCTATTTTCATCTTCTGGATATGTGAGTTCTTAACTGGCCAACACTCAGCCCCATACAACATGGACGGTCTAACCACCGCTCTATAAAACTTACTTTTGAGTATCGGTGGCACTTTCTTGTCACACAAGACTTCAGACGCTAACCTCTACTTCATCCACCCCACCCTTATACTGTGTGTGATATCATTGTCGATCTCCCCATCCCATAAACGACCCAAAATACTTGAAACTGCCCCTTTTGGGGATAAGCTGTGATTCAAGCCTCACGTCCAATCCCGCCACTGTCGGCTCGGTGTTGAACTTGCACTCCAGGTATTCCGTCTTAGTCCTGCTCAACTTGAAACTCTTAAACTCAAGGTCATGTCTTCAAACCTCCATCTTCTTGTTGACGCTGCCTCGCATCTCATCAATCAAAACTATGTCGTCATCGAATAACATACACTATGGCACCTCCCCTTGAATATGGTATGTCAGTGCATCCATCACTAGGGCAAATAAGAATGGTCTGAGCGCAGATCCTTGGTGTAACCACATAACAACCAAAAAATGTTCTGAGTCGCCTCCCACTGTCCTAATACGAGTCTTAGCTCCATCATACATGTCTTTAATAACCCTAATGTAAGAAACTGACTTACCTTTTGCCTCCAGGCATCTCGATAGGACCTCTCTAGGAACCTTGTCATAGGCTTTCTCAAGATCAATAAACACCATGTGCAGGTCTTTCTTCCTATCCATGTATTGTTCCACCAACCTCCAAATAAGATGGATAGTTTTCGCAGTAGAACACCTTGGCATGAACACGAGCTGGTTGTCGAATATAGGCACCATCCTCCTCACCCTCACTTCTACCACCCTCTCCCAAACTTTTATGGTATGACTCAGTAATTTGATGTCCCTATAGTTGTTATAAATCTGGATATCATCTTTGTTCTTATACAACAGAACCACCATACTCCACCTCCACTCCTCCGACATTCTCTTCATCTTGAAAATAACATTAAATAGCCTAGTTAGCCACTCCAAACCTGCCTTACCTACACACCTCCAAAAGTTTACCAGAATTTCGTTTATCCTGGTAACTCTGTCGCTACTCATCTTACGCATAGCCCCCACGACCTCTTCAACCTTAATGAGCCTACAATACCTAAAGTCACGATGACTCTCGGAATTTCCCAATTCACCTAGCACAACATCCCAATCCCCTTCTTCACTCGGGAGTTTATGAAAGTAAGTATGCCATCTCCGCTTAATCTAGTCCCCCTATCAATACTCTACCTTCCTCGTCTTTGATGCACCTCACTTAGTCTAGATCCCGAGCCTTCCTCTCTCTCACCTTGGTTAGTCGGAATAACTTCTTCTCCCTGCCTTTGTCCCCTAGTTCCTCATACAGATGAGCAAAATCCGCAGTCTTAGCCTCTATGACCGCCAGCTTTGCCTCCTTCCTAGCCACCTTATGCCTCTCACAGTTCGTCGTCCTCTCCTCTTCACATGCGCACCCTACTAACTTTAGGTACGTTGCCTTCTTCACTTTCACTTTACCTTGAACCACTTCATTCCACCACCTGTCGCCTTTGTTCCCACTAGAGTAGTCCGTCGAGACCCCTAACACCTCTCTCACCTCCTCCCTTATACTTTCTCGGTCGTCGACCACATAATGCATGCGTCCCCACTATTCCTCCAGGCTCTCATAGCCGATAACCTCCCTTCAAACTCCTGAGCTTCATTATTAGTCAAGGTTCCCCACCTGATCCTCGGTCATCCTCGTACAGATCTCTTCTTCCTTCTTATCATTATACTGACGTCCATCACCAAGAGCTTATTCTGCGTATGAGGGTCTCACCTGTGATAACCTTGCAATCCTCACAAAGCCCTCTGTCACATCTCCTGAAAAGGAGATAGTCAATCTGAGTCTTCACCATCGTGCTTTGGAAGGTAACCAAATTTGCCTCTTCCCTCTTCGGAAAACTAGAGTTCGTAATCACCAGCTCAAATGCCTTAGCAAAATCCAACAGCGAAGTACCTCTTCCATTCCTATCCCCAAAACTGAAGCCGCCATGCACCTCGGTATAGCTACCTGCAGTTGACCCAATATGTTCGTTGAAATCCCCTCCTATAAATAACCTCTAGGCATGCAAGAATATTACGCACAACCTCATCCAAACCTTCCCAGAAGCGCCTCTTGACCTCATCCTCCAAGCCCACTTGTGGCGTGTAAGTGTTAATGATATTTAGGGTACACTTTACAACCACCAACTTAATAGTCATTTATCTATCATTCACCCGTCTAACCTCTACCACAGACTCTTTAAGATCCCTAGCTACCAAAATACCCACTCCATTCTTACCCTTCAAGAATCCAGAGTACCACAGCTTATACCCGTCTGCATCCCTTGCCCTCGATTCTACCCACATAGTCTTCTGGACATATTCTATATCTACCTTCCTCTTCTAGAGAATCTTCGCCAATTCAATATACTTACCCGTCAATGTTCCTATATTTCATGACCCAATTCTCAACCTATAGGCTTATGCAGTCCGCAATTCACAAAGGCTCTAGACTTTGTCTTTTTGTACACTCTCTGATCTTTAACTTCTAGCTCAGCTTTGCAGCCGAACAATTCATGTGCGGTCCACAATTTGCACATATGTCTGATAAGTTTTCCCTCTTTGGTTGCAGCCGCAGATAGAAATCTGTGGTCCGCAATTTCTTCTGCAGCTACAGAATTATTTATGCGGACTGCGCAGTTGTGCTCCTACACCCTTTATTGCCTTGTGCCTCAGACTGCTCCTTTTTTAGTCGGATTTCATCTCAGGAGATCAACTTCCATCATTCTTGCAATTTTTTATAATTTCATTAGTTTCGAGAACACAATTTAATGCTTTTAGACTATAACAAAGCTAAAAGACGCTAATAAGTAGTCAAAATCCCCATTTATCAACTCCCTCAAACTTAAGTATTTGCTTGTCCTCAAGCAAATAAAATAGTTCTCACCTCTAGCAGTTAAGGGACATTACAACTAGCTACTGGTGAGCCATTCACACCTCAGTTGGGACCAACAATTACCCACACCACTCATGCATTATTGACAAGGCAACAAGTTAAACATTTTTGCACATATAGCTCTAATGTGACATTCGAGCATCAAGAGTTGACTTTACTCATCCAGGACTCTCGCTCTATCTTGTAGGTCATGGTGGACTCCAAACTCTTCCTCCTCTACTTTCCATTTGCCAAGCTCATTTAAGTATATGGCACTCAATTCAAAGATTTATGAAAGGTTCACTCATCTTTCTCAAGAGAATGTCACAAGTACGGCTTCAAGTACCATAGGTTTTCCACTCATGTAGATTACCACTAATGTAAGCTCACTCGGCACAAAATCAAGTAGGACTCCTTTCGGGATATAATGAAGACTTTTGTATTAGGGATTGATACAATCTGGGTGAGTGGTCACACCTTACTTAAGCACTCCATCTTTCAATTCTTGGCTCACACATTGCCGATTCCTTGAGGCACTTACTTTTCCTTGGGAACTATAGAGACATAACATCACTCTTTCTTGATCATTACATTCATATTTATTCCATGTTTGGGATCATTTCCTTTCTTTGAATCCCTTCAGCTCTTCCATTTATTTACTTTTTGCATTTCTCTTTTTGTTATTTTCTTTTCTTTTCCTTTCCTTCTCATCATTGCTTTTCTCTTTTTATGACTTGATACCTTTTTTCAATTTCCTCGTCTCTCGCCCAAACTTACTTTTTTAGCCATTTGTTTTACACGAGTGTTAAGGAAAGATCGGGTGCCAAGAGTGGGTCACGATAGAACAGGTAAAGGCTTGTAACATGGTTTTCAAATGAGAAAGGATAAAGGCTCAAAGGGTTTGACTAGGGATAACGTTTTTGGTAGGCAATAGAAAACTCAAACGGGCCAAGAAAAGCCTACAATCACTTCTCAAGCCAAGCAAAACTTACAATTTCGCTTTAAAATATATTTGGGGCAAGTTCTATACCTTCCGCATGGGTACTTGGACTAGCAACAAAGCATCTCACCCCTCACACAACTAGATTGTTAAAGAGGATAGAGTCGAGTGCCCACAACGACCACATTCAAGATTGAAGATCACTATTGGTCCAATTAGACCACTAGATGGTATCAAAGTCAACACAAGAGTCACAAAGTCACTAACTAGAGCTATTTCCTTTTAGAAACCATGTCTCTAACCATAAGCACGTAGTTAAATATGTTGGTGCCAAATGAAGCATGTTTGACTCTTTGAGTTTGACTTAATCAGCTCTTTTTATTCATTACTACTACTATTATCACCTAAATACAAAACGGACTCATTCACTTAAGAAGGATATCACACCATCCATCGTTTGGACGAGTCACCCGATTCACACAACAGTTACCTTTGGAAAGAACTATGACATTAAGAAAACCAAAGGCTTATTATCTACTGAAATATAAAAAGAAGCTACTAAATCAAACAATAACTAATAAGGAAATAAACATAAAGAAGCTATAAAGTAAAAACTATTGAAAGCAGATGAATATACATAATGAGAGAGAAAGAGAAGATATATACATAATGAGAGAGAAAGAGAAGATATATACATAATGAGGGAAGAGAGAGAATATATGCATAATGAGAAATAAAAAGAAAATAGCATTAAGTTAAGTATAGGCCAAATGTCTCAGGATTATCAAATAGGATCAAATAAACTCCTATCCCCAATTCTTAACAAAATAAGAATAAAGGAAAGGAAAGAGTGAAGAAGACTCCCTATGGCTCCTCGGACATCTCTATGTCCCCAGCAATGTCACCGCCCTTAGGCTCCAATTGGATCTCATCATCTTTAATTCTGGCGTGGTCAGGTTGGTGAAGATCTAACGCACTGCCTCGGTAGTGTCGGCAGCTAGGTCAAGCTCCTCAGACTGGCTAGTTGGTGCCAACGGAGCTGATGGTGCTGATGGTGTTGATGGTTTTAATGGTGGTGTAAGACCTGGATTAATTAGCATATCAAATGGGAGATCTCCGGCTGCTGAAATCTTGGTCACCTGTCTCCGGAGCTTGTCAATTAACTTCTTGATAGCCTGGGACTTTCTCATTTTCTTTACTTCTTTTCCCATCTCCTCAATCACTGACCCATGTTGTACCAAAATGTTCATGATAGTAGTCTGGTTCTCCAGGATCTTCTTTAATGTATCTTCCACTTTCGGGGAAACTTGAGGTGCCTGAATAGAAGACTGTGATGCAACTATATTGGATAAGTCGGACAGCTTTGCAATGGCTGTCTGTATCTATTTGTTGAGGCTCGCCAATATCTGGGAGACTCGCAATGCAAGAGGTGGAGCAGTAGGCATGGGCACCGGCTTCAAAGCCGAGGTGGAACCTGTGGCAAGAAATGTAATGGGAATTAAAGATGGTGGTAGAGGCATAGTTGCGGTACTAGAGGAAGACTCGGTCGAAGTGGATGAACCATCAACTGCCTCCGCAACTACCATAGCCGGCTTGTCAGACTCGCCTGTATTAGTAGGAGGCCAAACCTTCTTCTTTGGGTTCTTAGCATCCATCAGAGAGTACCATGAGAAAGGATTCTTCGGTCTCACCTTTGTATTATAATCCCTCGGCTCTACCCCCGCATCCGTGAGATACTCTGTAATAGTGTTGGGATACGGGTAGGACAAGTTATCTTGCCTAGAGATCATAGAGATATTGGCCGACATCATGACACCCACATTGATTGGGTACTCGGCCATGATAGAAGAAACCACACTCCCCGATGAATCGGAAGATAGGTCTCATTTTCGCACGGGTCTAGTCTGCTGCAGATGAAGGTTTTCCACCCCTTCGCTTCAAAGCTCAAAGTGTTCCTGTGAATAGGAACCCTTGTTGTGATCTATGGTGGTGGTGGCCCAGGAGCTGCTAGAATCTCCACTAACCAAGGACGAGCTGCCTCCCCAAGTGCACACTTCTCTAAGTACTCTGTGGGCTCTACATCATCAAATCCCAAGTAATGGTTCAATGTGTGCTAATCAAATCGCACTTTGAGGTTTCCCACTTTCATCACCTTTTTCCCCTTCTTAATATGCGCCATATTGGCGTAGAATCCTCGGACAATGTACTCCTTAGCATCAACCATGCTCTCGGTAAACCACATCCACCCTTTTGCGTTCCTTGAACTGTCTCAACACTGCCGGGTTATACTTTTCCAGATCATTCAACTAAAACTGTCGCTCAAGAGTGAGCGACCTCACTAGCCACCATTCATGGATGTTGGAGAAGGCTGCTAAGCTAACAAACCGGTCCTCTCATACCTTTTTATTCTTTGATCTTTCAAGGTCAGCCACTGTAGCATCTCACCCTATGCCATCATCGGGGATGTCCTAAACTGATGTATATGGTGCCTTAGGGATAGGTGTAGTGAAAGTCTCTGAAGCCTTACTTGAACTTTTTGAACCCTCGGAAGTGCTATGAGATGAGGACGACTCATCCTTGAGTTGGCACCTCCCTGGCAGCCTTGATTGGACAATCGACTGCTCTTGAACCAAGGTTGAGTTTCCATCTGATGCCTCCCTAGATGGGATATAAGAGCTCGACTCAGATAGATCTGCACCTCTCCCTTTGCTGGCTGTAGCTTTCTTTGTAATTATCTTTTGTAATCTGAAGGGTAAAGAACTCTTGCCTCGACCACTGGAGGGTTCATAGCTCCCTTTGGAAGTGTTGCCTCTGCCTCTAGATCGAACCATTTTCTGTACCAACCAAAGGCAGTTGTTAGTTGCAATTCAAGTTCAAACAGACAAGAATACACCAGAGAAGACAGTGAAGACACAGTTGAAACATGCTTGCAGGTTAAGGATCTGCGATCCACACATTTATTCTGGCGGCTGCATATTGGGCCTAGCGAACTGCATATTTCTTTCTTGCGGCCGCAGACGTGGATTGCGGTCTGCACATTTTTCATTGCGGCCGCAACTCAGAATCCAAAATGTGCCAACTCTCTCATAACAGAGAATTAGTTATTTTGTAACCGCAATCTGTTTTGTGTGGTCCACAGAATTTATCTTGCGACCGTACATATGATTCACCAAATTGTCAACTATCTAATAACAGGAAAAGGGTTGTTCAATGACCGCAATGGGATTTTCATGGTCCGCACAATTTTCTTGCGGCCGCAGAACCCTTCCTTACTGAAGTACCCTAGATTCAACTTCTGTGGACTGCACAAGTTTCTTGTGCGGCCGCAGATTTCAAACAATTACGAATAGATATCTTGGGCTTGCAATTTATGCACAAATTTTAACATGGTAACAACGTATAAGCATGAAAATGTATTGACCCATTCCCCCTAAAACATGTATTAGTTGACCCACTACAAGTTTACCCCCACATGTTGTACAATTGAGTTCT